TGGTCCTTTCTTAATACTTTAACTAATTTAGGAACAATTTGAATTAATGCATCTTTATAAGTTTTATCTGCCTCATTGCTTATTAATACACGAAACACTGCCTCTGTTAATTTTTCACTTGATGCAACTGCACCTACTTTTTCAAATCCTGTAACTAATTTTCGAAGTGTTTGATAACGAATTGTTGCTGGTTGGTTTATCATCAAATTTGTTGGGTATGTGCTTAATATCACTTTCGGAGTGTCTTCGTTCGACATTAAACAATCTAACGTTTAAGATTTTTTTTTTTATTTTAAAGTTCTTAATAATTAGAGAAATTCCTGATTTTGTAGGAAAAATGATATGAAGGGTTTTAATTGATCTTTAAGACAACACAAGAGAAATAAAAGAAATTTGATACCACAAACCATTTTAATATGATTAAAAGATGTTTTAATTATGAAATATTTACAACTAACTATTATTCTTTTTGAATGAGAAAAAATAAAGAAAATAAAACGTAATAAATGAAAAAAGAAATTTTTTTTGGGGGAAAAGAACTTTAAAATATTTTTGATTTAATTAAAATTAATGGAAATTCCTATTCCAGAAGAAGCTTTTAATAAATCAGCATATTTTAAAATAGATCGTTTAAATGATAGAAAAGGATTAGCAACAATTATTTTACTTATGTTGTGGATTATTTTATTTACTGTTATGGGTTTTGTTAAAGATCCTAGAAATGTATATGTTAATACTTCTCAAAAACAATGGATTTCAGGTGAATTATTTAGTTATGTACATTATAATATTTTAGTAATTTCAATTATTATAATTATTTTATTGTTCATTGGAATTCTTTTATTATATCGTGTTTTACCAACAATAATTACTTAGTTTGTGTTCAATCTATTTCATTCTAAAATAATATTTATTGAATAGTTTAAATTTAGTTCTTTCCCTTGTAATACCAACAATTATATTTCCTGTTTTACTCTTTTATCTAGGAATGAACAATGGATTATCACATCATCCTTTAGAATTAATTCTTACTATTGTTATTGTTATTCCTTTAATTTATAAAAAATTAGATTATTTCAACTTTAATTGGACAATTACATCCATTGTTTATAATACCTCATTCACTTTTTTCTTTTCATCAATACTCATTATCCTTCCTACAATTATGTTAATTGTTCTCTTTACAATTATTATTATGTTAGTATTTCATAGTATCATTTCATTAAATCTAATAGGATATCCAGGTATTACACCACCAATGGGTTTTATTGCAAGTATCTTTTTAATGATATTTTCTAATATGTTTTCTTATGTTTTTGAATCGGTAATTACAATGTTCCTCTCTGCTACAGTTTCATATAAATTACATGAAAACAAAGGGCTTAATCCAATAGAAGCATTAATAAAAACATTTTCATATCGTTTAGGATCAGCATCATATGCCATTGAATCTAGTTTTATTTCAATAGGAATTTCATTATGCAAATTACTGGTAAAAATACCAATTAACACAACATTTATTGGAAAGAAATTAACAAAATTCATTGAAGAAAATAGTTCAGCACAATCATCTATTTCACCTTTTGTATTTATTGGATATTATGGACATACTTATATTCATTCTAAATGTGGACTAAATGAAAAAATTAAACAAAGTTCAATGAGTAGTATTTTTGATGAATTTCATTTAAAAGAATTGGTTGATGTCTTTCAGTCTAGTACACGTGGATTAGTCATGGCTCTTGTTCTTCTTCTTTCCTTTACATATTATGGTGGAAGTGTTTCTTATTTTACAGTATTATTATTAATGTGCTCTTCTCAAGTGATTGGTTTAATTGGAACATTAATTAAATCAATAGGAGAAGTTATGTTATTTGATTGTGTTGAACAATTAGCTGAAGGAAAAGTATTAAATGAATTTACTAGTTTAATACAGAATTTGAGTAATAACATTCCACAGAATGGGTATAATAGAGTAAATTAATTATTATTTCTTGTCATTCGTTGTTCTCTTTTCATCTCTCTACACCACTTAAACAATTCATCATGTTTCCTAATAATTTCTTCTCCAACTTTACCTTTTTCACTAGTTGTCCAAATCTTTTAATTAAAAGAGTTGTAATGAAATTAAAAGAAAACACCAAAAAAAAACTTCAAACACTCTTCTCTCTATTTTTTTTTGCTTAATTCTTTTAGAATTATTAATAATTATTAATACAATTTAATCTAATTTTATTCTAAGTAGCAACCTTATAACTAATAATTGGTACTTGATAAAACTATTAAAATTATTTATGTTTTATTGTCAATAAACTGTATATTCAAACAGAATGTTTAAATGTTATAGTCTCAGATTATTTAGTTGTTAAAAAAGAGTTAAAATAAGAAAATTTAAAAATAGATCAAATAATTTAATTAATAAAAATATACTAAATTATAAAAAAACTATATTTATTCAAAAAGAATTAGATATAGAATGAATAAATACATAATAGAAAAAAAATAATAATTAGTAAATTTTACCACTCTTGTTTTAATCTGTTAGTAAGTAAATAAATGTTAATTTAAAT